TCATGCTATAATTAGATGAAAGAGTGGCATGCGGATAAGAGAATTGGTAGTTACTTAGTATATATAGCCAATTTTAATAACAGGCCACAGGGTCGTATTAAATTTACATGGATATCTCATGTTGAATCTCTCTTTAAAGTCTCCTTGAAAATTGAACATTATCATGTGTTCCATTAACAACATCACTGATTACCGTCTCATTGACTAGTTATTGATCAATTACAACGCACGAATCCTTTTAGAAACCCCAAACTTTGTGAACACTGAACATGTAAATTCTATAATTCTCTATATGAGACTTGAGAGAAGCAGCGCCATCTTAGGACGCGAGGAGGATTAGGACCTGTCGAACTACATTGCAACGTCCATGTGGACAAATATAATTACGAATTAAAAAATCACCTAATATAAAAACAACATCACTGAACACAATTATGAACACAATTATGAACACAATTATGAAACAGTCAGGCTCCGATTAACTCACTAGGTAAATACTTGGTAAATACTATATATACAAAGATACAAGTAGTACGTATCTAATATCTAGATACTAGATATATACAAGTAGTACGTATCTCCAGCAAATAGATCTGGTTACTGATGGGGGGGGGATTGGACCATACTTTTTTATCTGTCACGTCGTAACAGTGACGTAACAGTGACGTAACAATGACGTAACAGTGACGTAACAGTGAATAACCAGTCACCTCCCCACCAGTATCCACAGTATATGTTGACTACATGAGCACTGCACTCTGGAAACAACATGTGAACCTTACTAAATACTCTGATATGTGATTGAAATAATAATGCTTGACAATACGGGGGGGGGGGGGGGGGGGGGGTCATCTTTTCATTTAGCCGGTGAAATTTGCAACTTTCACGATGACTCCCCCGGTCCCGTATATGAAGATGGGGCCAGCAATGTGTTGATATGAATACCTCACGAGACATATTTATACTCGACATAATTCCGGTGACCTAAATAGTCCGAAAATATGGGATTTTTTTTTGGAAAACCACCGACTTTCTTACCTTTTAAATATAATGTACCTGGTCATGCTGTAAAATTACCTTTTAAATATGTCTGGTAAAGTATTTAAGTTATCTGTTTCGCAGGAAGTGAGTATTGATTAGTAGACCCGGTTGTGTGTAAGTACCGTGTTTAGCATGACAATAATATTACACATGATCATAAAAAGCCGATTGACACCCTCCTCACACTGACATATACTTGAGCAATTAATTGATTAATTAATTAATTGACTGCTTAATTAATTATTTAATTGATCAAGTACATGCCTATGTAAACCGCCGATCTTGATGAAAAGTATGTGGGACGCCGTCTCTGCACACCGCCTGTTAATCACACATAGATGCGCATATAGCCCTGCATGTTATAAACATATGTACAAGTTTATGTACAATTTAATTTACTGTCTCATCTGATCACGTGACTTCTTTGCAAGTCACGTGATCTTTTTACAAAACGTCCTCTCTCTTGCTGCAGAATTAATACGCTAACGCTAGATTGAGTGCTATCCCATAAATTCACGGCTGCTATAAAGTGTACTGGAACTTCAATCGACTGGATTCCATATTATATGTATGTTTATAGAACATTTCCAAGAGTTCATCTTGTTTTATATCAATTCTAATATTAAACTATGTGTGTTTGTGTGTGTGTGTGTGTGTTAACTGTGAACTAACAACGGGTCAAAGAACTTGAAACCTGATGTGGTGGTTGTTAAGTCTATTAACCAGCTCTCAAGGGAGACCGCGTGGATACCACGTGGTGACCACGTGTCCCAATCTTCATGTCATCTCCCTCAAATTGTTCCTTCACTGTTTACAGCTGTTCGTTATATCTTGCTTCTATCGCTGAGCGCTGTACCGCTGTTATTCTGCCCATGTGATGCGCTGTACCGCTGCTTTTCTGCCCACGTGATGCGCTGTACCGCTGCTTTTCTGCCCACGTGACTAAATATAGAATATGAGAATTATGTATGCTAGTTATATCACTGAGCTCGGTTTGTTACATTTACCGGCAAGATAGTTCTCTTGTAATATTATTAGAGCAAATTTGCGGCACGACTCAATACTCGTGCGATTGACATGCAACATTATTGGCACTTAATTAGATTAGCGTAAAAGTTGACTCCAATTAAAAATCTAATCAAAACCGAATTTCGATCCGTCGTCTGTGCGGAATCCCCTTAAAAATTCCGAGTTTATTCGGTCAATTGGGTGTTTGTAATCGGATATTTGCACTAAAATTAAAACCCGATATGCATTTTTGAATGAGTTCTCTCTCGGTGTGCGTGACGTAGAGGATCAAGTACGTTTTCTGAGAAATTAACAGTTGTCACGTGTGGTCGAGGTCACGTGGTGTTACTGTGTTGCTGACGTAGGTATCTGGACGCTCTAACCTAACTTCAGGCAACAAAACTTAGCCTGTCAATCGAGAGAATCGGCCACGTGGAGTGACGCGCATGTGCACGTGTTTTCACAACGCTGCACGTGCCATTGCGCGTCACTCCACGTGACCCTCACCGTACCTGGTCATGCTGTAAAATTACCTTATCGAATTTATTTCCTTGATCGGTGTGCGACTACACATTTGCTTCGTAATCGCTCTTTCTCTCTCTTTCTCCGGGCTTGCTTGTTAAACCCCGGAGTGTCACGTGATAACTACCTGATACCGAGACCTCGTGACGTCACGTGATGTGACGCCGTTATGTTACGTGATCAAGGGACGGTGGCGGAGGACAGTTCCCTCCTTGACGATTCCTCTTCCGATCCTGATCAGCAGCAAGTGGTCCAGCCGGTTGCAATTTCGTTTTCTTATAAACCACCTAAAGCGATATCTTTTTCATACCGACCTCCACAACTTGCTTCAAGCTCGACTGTACCGGCCATCACCAACTCAAATCATGTTACAGTGAACTCAGAACCCCCTAAAACAAACGCAGTACCAGCGAAAAGAAATTCGGAACTTTCGCAAACAAACGCAGGATATCCGGAGACAAACTCCAAACATCCAAAAACGACAAATTCGGAGCCTTCCCAGAGCAACTCATCTCACGATGATGTTCCCCCGGAATTTTCTTCCCCTGACGAAATGGAAGTTTTTGACGGGGACTCCACGGTAAAAGATGAGTTCCAAGTCGTTGATGGTGAAAGTCAGGATGGCCCAAAACTCATAGAACATACAACGGACCCAAAGCTTCTTGAACGTTTCCTCCGCCGGGGCCGGACAGACAGCGTGTGTCGGCTGATAACAAACATCTACGATTCTGACGAAAGCGGATGGAGCAGCGACGAGGGCAACTCAGCTCCACGTATTGGCATGCCTATCCGGAGTTTAGGACCACGTAAAGGACGGAGCTCCTCCTCCAGCGACCTCATGGTTCAAAGCAGACCACGTGTTATACCTCCGGGACCACACCACAGGCGGTCTACAACTGATATCCTTGCTAAACCCGCTCGGAGATCCGCGGTAGGTTCTCGAATAATAATGCAGCTATTTCTGGGTCTTCAAACCCTTGTAAAACTTGCCTTTTATTAGTAGCGGCTTTTAGAGTGTGATGAATCTTTCGGCATTGCAAAAATGCGGTCAATACCATGAAATATGTGATTTATACCATGATTAAGCGCGCCTATTGATATGGGTGGGTGAGGGGTCAATTTCCAATTTTGGCCCCCTCCCCATCCCGAAATGAGTATTAACTTACTATAAATAAGCTGCAACATTTCCTGCGAACGATGAGTCAAAATACCCCGCAAAATGTACTGGTATGCATCTAATTAATAATGCTCCATAATGCGACATATCAATAGTTACAGAAGACCTGTAGAATTTGCCGCTCCTTTATTATGTACATTATGAACATAATCGAATAGCTACAAGTACATAAGCAATACAACTGTGCTATAGCTGTTTGAGGTCAGCACTCGGAGTGCCACCCAAGGAGTATAAAGTCGAACTAAACCAGCCACATTTTAAACGACCCGAGATGAGATGATATGCGCATAATAATTATATTATGCGCATAATAATTATATTGTCCGGGTATAATCGGTATATCGCCTCCCAATTATTATCGTTTCAGATCCGCGAATTTTCACGTTAACACAGTTAAACGATTAAATAGGAGCAAATTTGCATTTGAACCTCTTATTAATATTTGGCCTTTTCATACGAACCTATTATTTCAATTTGGGCCTTTCGAACGTTTTTGCGCTGCAGATCGGCCAATCTTGCGAAGGGAGGCTAGATGAGGGTTAAACGAATAACGCGATAATCTAAGTTTAATAAGTTAAATTCTGATATAACTTGAACCTCATCCTCCCATTTCTACCACAGCTACCCTGGAAAGCTATTGTACTAGTGTCGTGTACACTGTACTGTAGCTGGTTGCTATAGTACTGTAGCTGGTTGCTATAGTACTGTAGCTGGTTGCTATAGTACTGTAGCTGGTTGCTGCATGACGCGCTCTACCTGCTGCTTAGCTCACCCGCTCAGTGCTGTCAACATTAATTAGTACACTCACTAATAAAATATTATATATTATATACTATAATAATATACTATAATAATATATTTAAACAAAATATTATATAATGAGTTATATAATGCTATAATTTGATATTTTATAATATGATACCTTTTAATGTAATATTATAATCATATCCTGCTTTTTTTCTTCTAGAATTTTCTTCTTCTAGAATTTTTTACTTCAAGAATTTACTATAATATTAAAATTGTGTGCTACATTGTGAGTCACGACTGTTAATTGCTTATGTTGATAGTGCGATATAAAAAATATTTATGATATAATATCCATATATTGTCCCATTATACTTTGGAGTGACTGTCATAATATTGATGTGTGATTGTCTTTTGCTGTCTTTACATTCTATATGTTTAACATTTAAATAATCACAATTCTATTAAGTTACTTTCTATTGGATTATTAAATATCGTTTTCCCTCAGTCGAGATCTTGGGGCCTGATAAAACAAGTTGTTCATTGGTCTCCCTTCGTTCAAGTTTACAAGAAGAAATACCCTTGGGTACAGCTAGCTGGTCATAATGGTAATTATTTCTTGTTATTCTTATTTCATCATATTATTGATTTATTATGAATATTTAGTTAATGGATATTAGATTAATATTTATTAGATTTATATTTATGGGATTCATAGTTATTAAATTGATAATTTTTAAATTTATAAGGACATTATTTTAGTATACATTTGATTAATAAACTCAAGATTAATAAATATTAGATTTATGAAGATATCATTTAAAAATAGATGTTTAATTTATGTATGTCTAATTAGTTTTATGGGTAATTCCACTTGGTCCCACTTGATGAAAATGAAATAGTCACTAGTCAGGCACCTAATTTTGGTAAAATTATTTACTCTAGCCTATTAACCTTACTGGGCAACCAACGTTTTTTAATTTGATATTGCGTAAAATTGCGATTTTTATTATCCAAAGAAGGTTCGGAAATGAATAAAATTATCTAGATTTTCAGAGGACCATAGTTTGGGTATGCAGGAATGTTTATCTACGAAATTCCATACACTGAAGCATAGGTACAAGAATTAGAGATCTGCAGAGTTTCAACACTGTTGATTTTTCTGAAAAATGTCAACAGAGATTGGTGTCGCGTCCGTCACAAAATTAAGCAAAAAAGTTTTTTTCAGAGCCACATAGCCAATGATACTGCCATTTATATTAAAAACTTTTGTGACATATCCTTTCTAAAGGCATGGGAGTACCATAGAAATCATCAGGATCCTATCTTCTAAGTTCAAAATTTTGAAAGGTCGCGTCCGTCACATTTTTAAAACTGTTTCAAACAAGAATTTCGCCGTGGTTACACCACGTATGATCAATTTTCCCTACAATATAATTGCAATCAAATTAAGTGGAAAATGTGGAGAGTGGTGCATCGTGTTTTCATTTTATTTTTAAAAACGTGTATAATTTACGTCGCGTCTATCAAAAACCATAAGAGCAGCTAGATGTTAAAAATATTTAGATGAGAAGAGGGTTAAATGTAAACTTTTGAAGATTTTGGACCCTTGAAACTCAAAGGCATGTCCACTTTCATGGCTTTTACAATAACTTAGAAAAAGGCAAAAATGTCACGGTGGAATTGCCCTAATGTCAATAAAATATATCGGATATTAAGTTATCCATTGTCAGTGGAACTAACTTGACCATGTTTCTTCAGGCGCCTTCAAACCATGTGATAACGGAACCATCCTGAAGAAGCTGACCGAGAAGGAGTACGTTTGCCTCAACAAGATCTTGGACGACACTTTCATGCTGCAGGTATTAAGAAGATTTATTGTTACTTTGAGGATCTTTCTATTCATTTTGGGCTGGATTATATCTTTAGAATTTACCTCCGTGTTTTTTTGCCTCATAGGAGATATTGTAGTCTTTTGTAAATGTAACTTTAATACATTAATGTAAAGGTTATTCGAATTTTGAAATAAAAAAGTAGTAGTAGTAGTAGTAGTCTCGTCCTGCAACCTTATTATTCCCTTTCCAGATCACTCCTAAATTCTACGGAAAAGTAGAGAAAGAAGGAGTTGACTACGTGAAGCTGCAAGATCTCCTGGCCGAGTTTGACAACCCCAGTGTGTGCGACATTAAGATGGGGACCAGGACCTATCTGGAGGAGGAGCTCATTAAAGCCAGGGAGAAGCTCACCATGAGGAAGGATATGTACGAGAAAATGGTCAAGGTTAGCGGAACTTATGTTTAGTAGGATATGAATTGTTACGATGATGAAGCATAATATGGAAATGCAATGTAGAATGTAGATTGTTTATAATTTAACGTTCAGGTTGACAAGAATGAGCCTACTGAAGAGGAACACACTTTCAAAGCCGTGACTAAGCCACGCTACATGCAATGGCGGGAACGGCTATCTTCTACCGCTACATTAGGTTCATATCCCCTCATCTTTGATCTCTTTCAGGACAATCTTCATATTTGAAATTCGTACGGAGTTCTCCGTGACTTCTCATTAACTATACAACATTCCTGAACAATTCCATTTTCTCCGTCAGGTTTCCGTATAGACGGAATCAAACAAGCAGACCGGGATCCGGACAAGAACTTCAAAACCGTGCGAACCAACCAGGAAGTAGCTTACGTGCTGAGGAAACACATCGACTATAGAGACGAGACTAGAGTAAGTGTTGATAATTATGCAATTAATTTATTTGGAGAGATAATTATCAAAACTTATAAATTTATAAAGCGATCGCTTTTAAACGAGGTTGTACTGTCTTGATCAACCGATTGGGACTACTTTGGCGTTATCAGGGTGTAAATTATTATATTTTTCAGTTGAAACTTTTAGAACGACTTAAAGAGATCCGGTCGACACTCGAAAAATCAAAATTTTTCGCGTCACATGAAGTCATTGGTGAGTTTGCGAACAAATGTTTCTAAGTCTTAAATTTTATCTTAAATTTAAATTTATTCAATGAATAACTTACTCAATCAATTAATTTCTAATTAATGGCAATTAACAGGGAGCTCTGTGCTGCTGGTGCATGATCAGCCGTCAGAAGGTGTTGCCAAGGCCAACGTTTGGATGATTGATTTCGGGAAGACGACCCCTCTAAACGGGGACAAAGCACTGGATCACCGGACCCCCTGGGTTGAAGGTATGTAGAAAATGTACTTGGTATCAGATACATATTCAATTAAGTTTACTTAATGAATGTAAGATTAATTTCGATAATGAGGAATGTAAACCTTATTCTAACATCATGTTTTTCACCAGGAAACCAAGAAGACGGATACTTGTTCGGTCTTGATAACCTGGTCAACCTATTCGAGAATTTAAGTAATATTCCTGCACCTGAAGGTCAGTGTTATTACTTATATGTAATTTTATTAAACTTTTATGTACTTTTACTGACCATTGTCTATTAATACTATTTTAGCTTTTTATTAACAGTTACCGGGAGTACAGTTTGAACAAATATGCTGTTTCCTTAAGCTTCCTACTATATTCGGATCCTTACTAGAAAAAATATAGGAATTACTAATTGTGTTGCCAAATAAACGTGGAATCGCACCTGCTTGGGTTCAATTAAAAATACCTTTTAACACCCTTAAACATATTATAGATAAAATATTTATTTAACATTGCATTTTCCTGTAGGTCTGGAGGATGACCAGCCTGCTGTGGGCTGAAGACGCAGCCTCCTTCAAGATGTACAACTATAGTAGTGTATCGAGAGTTCACCACCATCCGCACCTGTCCGCGGGAGATATATTTGCACGTGTCACGAGCGCACGTGTCACGAACGCGCGCGTCGCGCTGACATCAAGGTTGACGATGTGACGTCACGTGACCATTTTAACGTCACGTGACGTGTTAGTTTGATGACGTCACGTGTGGTTTGTGTGTGCGGTATATTCTACTGGACATTGTGGAGCAGAACACGAGGATTTCTCTCCCTCTCCTTCTCTCCTTCTCTCTTACTCTCTCTTAACAGGGAATTTAATTTCGGGGTGTTCTAATTTGTAGATAAAGTAGTGGACATGATCATCTCTTTCTCTTCTTTCCGGTACTATCCGGTACAAGACGTGTTTTAATTGTGGTTTTATCTAGATTATCCTCATCGACACAACTATTGTGATTTTCTCTGACAAATTGTCCACAGAAAAGGATATTTTCCAAAGGCTCAGGCTCAGTTGGGTTTCATCAGTGTCACCATGGCATTATTGTCAATTCATTTTTTTTCTCGAAGATGCAAATACTCCAAAGAAATTACAGTTCCGAAAACATTATTTTACTCATAAATACTGGGGATGTCATAACATTTAAGGATATGATCTCTTCGCACGGTCGTTGACCAATACGAGCACTTCTCATCTGATGGATCTTGTCGACGTGGATTGGACGCCAATAAAATATAATCACTGTCCTCACCTTAAAGATGACAAAACCTGTTGGTCTAGTGCTCCTGAATTCCTGCTGTCTACTGATACCAAAGTTTTTAATAGCATCTAGTACCCCACAATATATATTTATGTTGTCGTAAAGTATGTTTATGACTCATGGGTTGGATCTCTCCTTAATTAACCACCACGGTAGATATGTAGACTTTAACCGTGATCCTAGTTCACGCGAATTATAATTATTTTCAAAAAATCTGAGATTGTTTTAGAGATATGTGTTTGGTGATGATATGTAAGGATTATGCCTTTACATTTAGTTATGATATTTTGAGTTGAAATGATAACGGCGAGTGTTGTATCCCCAGTGATTCTAGTGTTCAATTAATTAATTAACTAATTAATTAACTAATTAATTAATTAATTAATTAATTAATAGTGTATCCCCAGTTTTTGTTGTTGTACCTCTTACGTGTGGTAGGTATAGATTTATTTTATTGTGTTTTTCACTGTATAGATCATTATGTATACAAGTATATTGAAGTTGTCGAACTGTTACTTCAATTTTTAAGTGATATATAATAATCTGCTATCATATTGCTACGAGACTAACGCGAGCAGCGGGATCAAGTTATTTTTTAGTGAAGCTGTATAATGAGTGAGTTTGTTTGTTACTGGACCCTGTTATCTCCGCAAGTATCTCCGGAATTTATCCAAATTTTCATCCAATCTTAGGTTTGGCGATTGTAGTAGGAATCTTTAACTCTAAAATCGTTGAATATTAACCGTTTTTAACGTCTGTTTTTCAAAACTTAAAAAAGTGTACCATATCTCTGGACTGTGTACTGGTTGTTGTGAAAAACTGAGGTGTTTCACGTGTTGTAAGGGCTATTAAGACCGTCAGCAATGACGTCGTGGTTACGTCATCTTATGCGTGATGACGTCACAGCCGCGCGTGTGATGGCGTCATCTCGCACGGGATTATTTTTAATGAGCTGCGACTTGAGTGAAAAACAAATATTTTGTTTTTAAGAATTTGAAAATATATATATTTTGTATATTATATGATAGATATCTTGAATCAAAAACTGTCGTTTTATTAAGTTAATTTAAACTTTAAACTTAATGCCTCTAATTCTAAACCCATAAATGAAAATCATAAATGTATACATTTATTTAATACTTGATACTAACTTATTCCAAATTTTAAGCTTTTGTGTATGGCCGGGCAAGCTTCTTGGTTGGCTAGATTAAGGCCGATAAGGTATGTTGATTTGTAAACTTCTGACAATTAATGTGAAATTAGTATATAGTAAGTAATATTAAAAGAATATTATAGTACTAGTAGTAATAGCACTAAAATTTAAAACCCCAAATGTTTGTCGAGAGTATTTCATCACTTCAAATTAAGAAACACAAAAATGTGCGGAGAAAAGGGAGTCCCAACAAAGATTTGTTCTCCAATCTCATGAATCTCGCTGAATGAGATTGTCTTTGTCAGTTTGTGAGGGTCTGTCAGCAGATGAAGAGTAGCGCCTTTAGAGTCGACCTTGTAAAGGGCGGGACCTGTACCATATACAGTGTCGTGTAGAAGGAGCAGAGGGAGCAGCGCCTGGGTTGTGGTTGTTAGTTATTAGCTTAGTCTAAGTCTAACTGTGGACTGACTCACATAAATAATTTCAAATCTACTGTTTCAATTACTATAATTGGCCAATTCTTAGTTGAAAGTAGTTAGCATAGACGAATAATAAGTACAATTTATGAAACCTTGTTGGTCAATATGTGCCGAAGGGCTGGATATCTCCCGAGAAAGTCGAGCAATGATGACGAAGTAAATCTGGTAGCTGACAACCCAATCCAATATCCTAAAAGTTAAATTGTTGTCTTTCAAACCAAAGTTTAAAAATTAAATTTATGAACCTCATGACATACTATTGACTATGTAATATGTCTACATTGATTATAAATATGTAAAGAATCTTTGAACCACGGACCACGGTACTGTATGTTAGTGTTAACCCGACATTACATATGATATTAAGAGCTTCTATTATTAATTAAACAAGCAAAGCTGTTATGATCTCAAATATCTTTATATGTTATAGATTGTAGAACTAAAAACAGGTCCTATCCATCATCTCCTTAATCATTAATCCCGCATTATGTTTATATAATATTTATATTATTTAAACAAAACTGACAAACCTCCGTCGTTTGATCGACGAATGTTGTCAACAGCACCAAAAGTGTTTTCAATAAACGGTGATATTGTTTTTGATTCGATGTCAAACCTGAAAAATCAAAAAATGTAGTTATAATTTTAAAGCTATGTTTTCAATCAATTTATAAACTAAAATTGGAGTAGATAATTTTCGAGAAATTGGGCTGCATTCTTTACTCTATCTAACAATAACGAGAATAAATACAGGTTCATTATCTAATCGATAATAACTTCAGTATATAATATAAATAGTAATAGTAATACTAATAGTTTCATAACAAGTTACAACAATCAAGTCATCACAGTATCCCTTTGTACCTGTCTACCATGAATAATAAAGATGTGTAATCAATGATAGAAATTTGTTTTGAGAGTTGTAAGCGAGTTAATGCGTGACCTTTACAGTTATAGTTATACATTAACTTACCACACAAGCACACGATTTTGAAGCTATACTCTGTGGGATTGTGGGATTGAATATGTGGGTCTCCCTTTTGTTATAAGTATAACTAGTTAAAAGAGATCTGAAGAAGGTAAATAGGCTACATCTTGTTTTCCAAATATTTCAATAACGAGCTGCCACTTTGCATTATCACGGCCTCCTTATAAATGAGTGGATATAAACCGAATCCTGATCGTTTATTCCACTGAAGAATGTTCGAGATTATCTTTCGAATAAAACAATTGTAATCTTATCGGAATAAAATAAAAGATAAGGCCAGGTGAGCGATCTAAGGGTGGTCCCATTCAGCTGCTATAACAGCCCGGGAGCCCCTCAGGGTCGGACGCCTGCCGGCACTTCTTTGTACTTGACTCGATCGCCCAGTCAAATCCTGCAAAGCACTCACGTGGGGTGACACTTACATAGTTACAGTTTACACTGTACACGCGGCACACTGGCGCTGTGTAGCATTAAACTGCCAGTCACTTTTGGAAATAAATGTTGCTATTTAAACTTTTAAAGAATCATGAAATACACTATTTGAGGCAACGAAAAGTTCGCAATTTTACTTTAGAAGTACCTTAAGTAGTAGTACTAGTACAGTGCGTGGTGCTTTAAAAGTACGTTGTACTTCGATTTTGATGATCATATACATTTTCATACTTACCAACCAAACAGAACATAGTGGAACTGGAAATGGAAAACTAAAACCGTGCACCAAATTTTAAAATGAAATTTAAAAAACTCCGCTTGCGCTTGTTTTCCATAATCAATCACTACCAAGGTTGGGTGACTATGCTACTCTTACAATACCTTATAGAGTTATACTTCTTTTATAAATTACATGTTAATATATTTGATATTAACCTTTACCTTACAACCCGGAACATGGAGCACTCAGAAACTAGCAGAGAACGATTGTCGTGGTACAACTCGATACCATTTGGTAGATACAAGCCATCAGCTACAACCTTCAACTCCCTATAAAGAAACAATTTACTATTTAGATGTTGGTGGTAATTTTAGAATATAAATAAAGAAACTATAATAAGAAATACTTAGGCACATGCTTAAAGTCTCTATTAGTATAAACTATAACTATAACTATCACTTATCAGCTGGTTTTGTGAGCACAAAAGGAACATGCACCGCGTGGAAACTGGAATATCTACGGTGTAACATGTAAAAATGATAGTCAAAACAAGTTACCCGTTTTCAAGGTTGTACCCCAAAATTCGTCCTGAATTTTCAAATGAAAAGAATCTCTGTAGAGGGTGGAATGTTGGGTGGTATGTAAAGGAATCTGTAATGTATATCATCTTCTTTACAACCACCAGATCGTTAAAAAACCCTGGAATGAAAGTATTTTGAATGACCGTTAAATATTAAACCGAATAGGGTTCATATTTGATATTTGCCCCCTAGTTTTGGACCTCCCGAAGAAAAAGTTAATGATAATCTGTTTAACTTTAAGACATATCATATTAGAAAATGGGACAGAAATTCTAATAGCTGATTGACCTGCATATATTTTAATTTTATTAATAAATCTTCGTAAAGTTCTAACCTGGTTTAAGATCCCTCAAAACCGCGTGATTCTCGTCCAGCAACCATGTAAACTTGGCGTTTTGGAATTTGAACAATCTACCGTGTTCATCAACCCCATAAATAACGTCCTCTAGTGATCGGATACCCAAAATTCTGCACGGATTTCCTGTAAATATTTATAGTCAATAGCTGAAGTTCAATTAAGGGTGCAAGATGTTCAGCTCGACAAAATACCGGTAGAAATTATTTCGTAGGCCCTAAAATTACTCCTTCAGAATCAAGATCCAGTCTTACCCTTCGATTGGACATATAACTCAATAGCCGAAGTAGCTCTGATACGTCCGATTAGAACCTTTTAGTTTAAGACTGGCCTCCAGCTAAAGATTTATTGTAAGATTAAAGCTTACTATGCTGTATCAAGTCGAGTGTTTAATGTGAACGCAATATTCAGATTTGATTCCTGTATTCATCCTCCACTTATCTTTTAGTCTACGTATTATCAGTGCGTGCTCACGAACTCACGTACACACTTAAAGTTAATAAACATTCTTATGTAATAGTCTATGTAATAAGCGCCATGAGTTGGCACAGAATTTTTTGTCTCTGATTTTGATAAATTTGGTACCAAAAGTTGCCTTTAACTGTGAATAATGAAAATTCACCGTGTAGCACGATAACGTCGAGATGTAAGTGGGCCTCGTGTGCATTGCAAAAGTGTACAAAGGACGAAAAATGGTTAATTTATTGCTTAAAATGTATGTATTTGTAACTCCTAAAATATTGAATATTTTGAAATAATTCTTACAGGATCGTAATGAGCTTAATCAGACGCAACTTTTGGTACCAAAATTATAATATTTAAAGTACCAAATTTTTCGAAAATTTGTTCAAAATTGTGTTCAGATTAAAAACTTTTGAAAAAAAATTCCTTTAAATCTTAAAATATTATAGTACTAAAAGTTTCGTCTCAATGTGAGCTGATTACGATACCATAATAACTATGTGATAATAATTGAAAATGTGAAAGTTATAGGCCAAAAACTAAAAATTTGCGCGAAAAAAGCACCCGCGGCGAACAAGCGCCGTGTAGCATTTTTAGCGAAAATTCTACACGGTGGATTTATTTTATTCACATTTTTAGACAACTTTTGGTACCAAATTTATCGAAATCGGAGAAAAAAGTTTTGTGCTCGCGCTTGGCGCTTATTACACTTACTATAAGTATAACGCTCAATTTTGCTAACATCGATATCTCACAGCTAGCTATATTAATTGTAAATGTACTTACTAACCGTGCATGCAAATCTGTGTACATTTTGTTAAATTTTAAGTCTGCTAGGATTGTATTTGACTTTGGTTTAAATTTCTGATAGTTATAATTTGTCTAATTTCGTCCCGCGTATATGGAGAAGATCTAGAAGACCCTCTAATTCTACCGAGTAACTACTTAACAAGGAGTAAGTTTAAAGTTTCAACTATACCATATCGGACGTATCAGAGCTACTTCAGCTATTGAGTTATGTCAAATTGAAGGGCGAGACCGGATCTGCAGAGGAGTATCAGTAACTGTCAAAAATTTCAACTTCCTAGTTGTCAATTTCAACTTCCTAGCTTGTCCTTGGTTTGCAGTTGTTCTTCTTAGGGGTAACACGATCTCCTGTTTACTTTTAGCTGGGTATTTTGGTTGTGCGCTAATAAGTTATATTTGTATCGTACCTTATTTGTTTTTGATATGAAAATTTCGAAAGACTAGATCTAGTCTTTCGAAATTTTGATAATCCGAAGCTCCGAATGACTTCAATTGCAAATAATTCCAAAAGTTGTTTTAAAATTTGAATTATTAAGATATTTTTATGAACAGTTGTGATGATCTTATATTATGTATCATTATGTTTTGATTTGATTTGATTTGTCGTATGTTACGTTGTTTCGGTCAGATGTTACGTTGTTTCAGTCAGACATTATTTTGTTTTAATGATAATACCTGCAATGTATCATTTTGTGGTAATGGAAGCTCAATAGCAGCAGTACTGACCAATAATTTTCCAATTCGTCGTAGACAAAGGTAATTATTACTGAGTTACTGTGTATGCAATTTGAAGAAAATATGACCATGATATGCACATAATATGACCATGATATCAGATATGCACATAATATGATCATGATATCAGATATGCACATAATATGATCATGATATCAGATATGCACATAATATGATCATGATATCAGATATGCACATAATATGACTGTGTATGCACATTTTAGACCGTAATCAGGGTTTCAGGCAAGCTTCCCATCAAATTACTCTGAAGTTCTCATTGGCGGGAAGTTTTTTGAAGAATTGTAATATTTAATGTCACAGAAAGTTTAAGAATATTGACCAAACACCAGCTAAATCTACTTAATATATTTAAGGAATATGGATGGGCCGGATGGTCCCCCACCTTTTGGAAAGCATGATCTTTTCCCGAACCAAGTCTATAACGACCTTGCAGTGCCTCACTTCTGCCCACCTTTTGGAAAGCATGATCTTTTCCCGAACCAAGTCTATAACGACCTTGCAGTGCCTCACTTCTGCCCACCAGAAAGATATGCTGCTCTCCATACTGAGGCTTTCACACCTCGACCTGACGACATTGTGGTGTCTACATTCCCTAAAAGCGGCACCACTTGGCTCCAGAACATTGTGTACAATCTAGTGGGTTGTCCCAACGGACCCATAGTTCAAATCAACAAGTCAGTTCCTTGGTTACAGGATTCATTGTCAGTAAAATTGGAGGATATTGAGAAGATGAAGGGACCCCGAGTGTTCAAGACTCATGATTACTGGAGCTGGATGCCGGAGAAGTTGAGGGTCACAGCTCGTTTTATTTACTGCTCCAGAAACCCTAAAGACCAAGCCGTGTCATACTTTCACCATATCAAAACTCTGAAGAAAATATACGGAGACAAGTGTGGTGCCATGACATTCAGTGAGTATTTTAATGAAATCTACGCAAATAAAGACGTGGCAATGTATGGACATTGGGAAGATCACAATATAGAATGGCTCGAACAGTCCTCTAGGAAAAACATCATGTTTGTAACTTATGAAGATCTAAAGGAAGACACTGAGAGGGAGATAAGGAGAATAGTAGAATTTCTGGGTCTATCTGTAGACGAGGAACGGATTACCGAGACTCTCAAACAAAGCGGTTTCAAGCACATGCAGAAAAGCGACAACTTAAATTATTCCTGGGTGACTGAAGGTTCAAATAACGTATTTGTAAGGAAAGGTCAAGTAGGAGGATGGGTCGATTACTTGAGTGAAGAGGAATCTGCTTACTTTAATGAGCCTATTAAACGAGTTAATGAGGTAGGTGGAGATGTTAGGTGTAGTCTTGAGCAGTCACTGTTAACTCAATAATTCATATCTGTATATATCAATAGTAATATTCTCAAAATGTGTGTGTGTTCGTTCGTTCGCGTGTAATTTCCGAGCGGCTTAATCAAGTAAACTCAATAATTCATATCTGTTTATATTATATATCTATATAATATATCCATGAATAGTCAATGCTGGTTTACATATAGCGAATAATTTGCAATTTAATCGTGTTCTAAACTAGATATCTAAATAACATAACATTTATTTTCCGAAGGGGTTTCTAATAATTTATAGATTTACTTGTATAATTTATGTGTCTTATGATTATATAACATCAGGTCTTGTTCGAATTCTATCCAGTTTACTTGTAAGATAAGCCTTGATTTCGTTTAAAAAAGTTGTCTTCAATTATTCATAATTTCCCACTCTACGGAGATGATACTTGGTGGGTTTCGTAATCTGCCTAGTTGGATTGTTGAGTTCCCTAGTAACATGAACAATTCACAAAAAAGAAATAGTCATAATCTTTATTCAATCGCACAGTATAAAGATAAGAATTTCATTTACCACTACTATAATTCAGACCAGGAAATTAAAGTCCCGTCTTACCAGATTATCTATAAAAATATGAAGACAACTGATAAGAAACTGATAAGAAACTGATAAGAAACTGATAAGAAACTGATAAGAAACTGATAAGAAACTGATAAGAAACTGATAAGAAACTGATGAGAAACTGATAAGAAACTGATAAGAAACTGATAATAAACTGATAAGAAACTGAAAAGAAACTGATAAGAAACTGATAAGAAACTGATAAGAAACTGATAAGAAACTGATAAGAAACTGATAAGAAACTGATAAGAAACTGACAAGAAACTGACAAGAAACTGACAAGAAACTGATAAGAAACTGATAAGAAACTGATAAGAAACTGATAAGAAACTGATAAGAAACTGATTAGAAACTGATAAGAAACTGATAAGAAACTGATAAGAAACTGATAAGAAACTGACAAGAAACTGACAAGAAACTGACAAGAAACTTATAAGAAACTGACAAGAAACTGATAAGAAACTGACAAGAAACTGACAAGAAACTGATAAGAAACTGATAAGAAACTGATAAGAAACTGATAAGAAACTGATGAGAAACTGATGAGAAACTGATGAGAAACTGATAAGACAACTGATGAGAAACTGATAAGAAACTGATAAGAAACTGATAAGAAACTGATAAGAAACTGATAAGAAACTGATAAGAAACTGATAAGAAACTGATAAGAAACTGATAAGAAACTGATAAGAAACTGATGAGAAACTGATAAGACAACTGATGAGAAACTGATAAGAAACTGATAAGAAACTGATAAGACAACTGATAAGACAACTGATAAGAAACTGACAAGAAACTGATAAGAAACTGATAAGAAACTGATAAGAAACTGACAAGAAACTTATAAGAAACTGATAAGAAACTGATAAGAAACTGAATAGAAACTGATAAGAAACTGATAAGAAACTGAATAGAAACTGATAAGAAACTGATAAGAAACTGATAAGAAACTGATAAGAAACTGAATAGAAACTGATAAGAAACTGAATAGAAACTGATAAGAAACTTATAAGAAACTGATAAGAAACTGATAAGAAACTGATAAGAAACTTATAAGAAACTGATAAGAAACTGATAAGAAACTGATAAGAAACTGATAAGAAACTGATAAGAAACTGATAAGAAACTGATAAGAAACTGATAAGAAACTGATAAGAAACTGATAAGAAACTGATAAGAAACTGATAAGAAACTGATAAGAAACTGATAAGAAACTGATAAGAAACTGATAAGAAACTGATGAGAAACTGATAAGACAACTGATGAGAAACTGATAAGAAACTGATAAGAAACTGATAAGAAACTGATAAGAAACTGATAAGAAACTGACAAGAAACTTATAAGAAACTGATAAGAAACTGATAAGAAACTGACAAGAAACTTATAAGAAACTGATAAGAAACTGATAAGAAACTGAATAGAAACTGATAAGAAACTGATAAGAAACTGAATAGAAACTGATAAGAAACTGATAAGAAACTGATAAGAAACTGATAAGAAACTGAATAGAAACTGATAAGAAACTGAATAGAAACTGATAAGAAACTTATAAGAAACTGATAAGAAACTGATAAGAAACTGATAAGAAACTTATAAGAAACTGATAAGAAACTGATAAGAAACTGATAAGAAACTGATAAGAAACTGATAAGAAACTGATAAGAAACTGATAAGAAACTGATGAGAAACTGATGAGAAACTGATGAGAAACTGATAAGACAACTGATGAGAAACTGATAAGAAACTGATAAGAAACTGATAAGAAACTGATAAGAAACTGATAAGAAACTGATAAGAAACTGATAAGAAACTTATAAGAAACTGATAAGAAACTGATAAGAAACTGATGAGAAACTGATAAGACAACTGATGAGAAACTGATAAGAAACTGATAAGAAACTGATAAGAAACTGATAAGAAACTGATAAGAAACTGACAAGAAACTTATAAGAAACTGATAAGAAACTGATAAGAAACTGACAAGAAACTTATAAGAAACTGATAAGAAACTGATAAGAAACTGAATAGAAACTGATAAGAAACTGATAAGAAACTGAATAGAAACTGATAAGAAACTGATAAGAAACTGATAAGAAACTGATAAGAAACTGAATAGAAACTGATAAGAAACTGAATAGAAACTGATAAGAAACTTATAAGAAACTGATAAGAAACTGATAAGAAACTGATAAGAAACTTATAAGAAACTGATAAGAAACTGATAAGAAACTGATAAGAAACTGATAAGAAACTGATAAGAAACTGATAAGAAACTGATAAGAAACTGATAAGAAACTGATAAGAAACTGATAAGAAACTGATAAGAAACTGATAAGAAACTGATAAGAAACTGATAAGAAACTGATAAGAAACTGATAAGAAACTGATGAGAAACTGATAAGACAACTGATGAGAAACTGATAAGAAACTGATAAGAAACTGATAAGAAACTGATAAGAAACTGATAAGAAACTGACAAGAAACTTATAAGAAACTGATAAGAAACTGATAAGAAACTGACAAGAAACTTATAAGAAACTGATAAGAAACTGATAAGAAACTGAATAGAAACTGATAAGAAACTGATAAGAAACTGAATAGAAACTGATAAGAAACTGATAAGAAACTGATAAGAAACTGATAAGAAACTGAATAGAAACTGATAAGAAACTGAATAGAAACTGATAAGAAACTTATAAGAAACTGATAAGAAACTGATAAGAAACTGATAAGAAACTTATAAGAAACTGATAAGAAACTGATAAGAAACTGATAAGAAACTGATAAGAAACTGATAAGAAACTGATAAGAAACTGATAAGAAACTGATAAGAAACTGATAAGAAACTGATAAGAAACTGATAAGAAACTGATAAGAAACTGATAAGAAACTGATAAGAAACTGATAAGAAACTGATAAGAAACTGACAAGAAACTTATAAGAAACTGATAAGAAACTGAAAAGAAACTGATAAGAAACTGATAAGAAACTGATAAGAAACTGATAAGAAAATGATAAGAAACTGATAAGAAACTGATACGAAACTGATAAGAAACTGATAAGAAACTGAAAAGAAACTGATAAGAAACTAATAAGAAACTGATAAGAAACTGATAAGAAACTGATAAGAAACTGATAAGAAACTGATAAGAAACTGATAAGAAACTGATGAGAAACTGATAAGACAACTGATGAGAAACTGATAAGAAACTGATAAGAAACTGATAAGAAACTGATAAGAAACTGATAAGAAACTGATAAGAAACTGATAAGAAACTGACAAGAAACTTATAAGAAACTGATAAGAAACTGACAAGAAACTTATAAGAAACTGATAAGAAACTGATAAGAAACTGATAAGAAACTGACAAGAAACTTATAAGAAACTGATAAGAAACTGATAAGAAACTGAATAGAAACTGATAAGAAACTGATAAGAAACTGAATAGAAACTGATAAGAAACTGATAAGAAACTGATAAGAAACTGATAAGAAACTGATAAGAAACTGACAAGTAACTTATAAGAAACTGATAAGAAACTGATAAGAAACTGACAAGAAACTTATAAGAAACTGATAAGAAACTGATAAGAAACTGATAAGAAACTGATAAGAAACTGATAAGAAACTGATAAGACAACTGATAAGAAACTTATAAAAAACTGATAAGAAACTGATAAGAAACTGATAAGAAACTGAAAAGAAACTGATAAGAAACTGATAAGAAACTGATAAGAAACTGACATTACCTTGTGAGCTAGGTGGACAGGGTACAGACCATATTACTGAGTGATTGTTGATATCAAATCCAACAAGATTCCCGTCCAAACTTCCTGTCACCAGGTTCCCTGATCCGGTAAAATCAGTTGAAACGTGATAATATTCATATTGAAGTTCCACTCAAATTCAAAATGCTGGCTAACGTAATGTTTATCAAATTCTCAGTCCAAACAAATACACCGTCTTTGGGACTTGAGTTACCTTTGTAGAAGACAATAGATTCTCCGCCTCTGATTCCAACAACTCTCCTCACCATGCTCTCATCAACAACTGTCACGTGATCAGGGGCACTGCTGCCGTTCGGCGGTCGCGCGCTACTGCAAGCGAGACGGCTCTGGTTAGTGCAAGCAGGCGGTGGAAGTCTGAGGAATATGAAGATGAAAACTTCATTTTGAAATAAAGCCTATAAAGCTGTACGTGTTATAACACTTATATAGTGTTATAATACAATTATAAATATCTGTTTAGTCCTACGGTCCCTCTAAAGCTCTAAGAAAGCTTCCTATAGTTGGCATGGTGCCATCCATAACCTTCTTTAGCCCTGTGATATGGTGACTCTAAATTTAATACCATTTAAACCGAATATTTCAAAAGTTTTTCAGTGCAGTTCATTATTAACAACATCAAAACTAAAAGTGTATATCATATGCTTGCTCATATATAGGAAGCTGAGGTCGACTTACCTGATTGTGATATTCAAATCACTTTGTAGAAAACTGATGTAAACTGATGTACAGAGAAAGACGACTATCAGAGAACATGTCTTGACAGTTAACATTACAGACGAGTAGTTTGCAGTTGAACTATCGCGCATACAAAACGGAAAACCTGCCAAGAAAGATTGACAGATGGTGGTGGTACATATGCAGTACAAGAAAAGTATGATTATTATCAATAAGGATAAGGAGAATTTCGC